CGCGGAGCGGCTGGGCTCCTGAGCCATGGCCGCTGAGCCTGCACGTCCGGAGCCTGTGCTCCTCAACGGGAGAGGCCACAACAGGAGAGGCCCGCGTACCGCAAAAAAAAAAAAAAAAAAGAAGAAGAAAAATAGATTTAAAATTTTGAAGGCACAGGTTTTTAAAAGGTTGAGATATATATTGGGCTAAATAAAGGAAGCTAACATGTCTGGAGTAGACTCACTTTGAGGCAGTTTCACATACATAGATATTATTTATTAGTGGGAAAATAGATTCTGAGAGGCTGAGTTTACCGAGTTTGTTAAAGGTGTCAGACCTGGGTCTGTCAGCTCAGCCCTCAGCAAGGGCAGTGAACCCACAATGGGTGTGTTATGTGGGCAGCTTGAAGGGAGTCATACCCTACATGGACTGTGCAGTCGGATTTGGTGACTTTGGCCCCCAAATTCCTGTCCATAAATCATTCAACAATTCGGCAAGCATACAGTGAACCCCTTCTGTGTGTCAGGTGTTGTGCACACACTAAACTCAGAAATGAGTCAGTCCATAGTCAGAAGGAGATATAGACAATGCCCTTAATTCATCCATGATGTTGACTGAACACCTAGTGTATACTTGGCGCTGGGCTGACAGCAGTGAAGGGTAGAGAAATCACAGACCCAGTAACTAATGTGAAATGGTAATGCTTTTGTGTAATAACTTTTTCAATGGCTAGGTTGCTTACTGTCGATTCCAAGCATCTAACCCAGTGCCTGGCACAAATTAGATAATTGATAAATATTTTTGGGGTAGATGAGTGGATGCTAAAATAGAATATATGGAAAGTATTAGGGGAGCACCAATGAAAGAACAGTGACTCCATCAGGAGGCACTAGAGGGCAGTAACATGAACTGGTGCTGAAGGATGAATGAAGTGTCCCAAGAAGGCGTGGAAGAGAGGAGGGCATTCCAGGCAGAGGGAACAGCACAAGCAGAGGCAGAGAGGCTTGGAAGTTCACAGCATATTTGGAAAGAGCAAATTTGAAATTAGAAAGTTGAGGCCAATATGAAATAATAATTAAGACCACTGGCTTTGGATCCAGACAGACCTAGGTTCAGGTCCTAGCTCTACCACTTACTAGCCGGGTGATTTTTACCTAACATCTCTAAGCCACAGCTTCCTCATTTGTGAAATGAGGCTAATAATCGTACCTACCTCACAGGTTGTTGCTAGGATTAAATGAAAGGATGCATGAAGTTACTGGTGTGGCTCCTAGCGCACTGTACATGCTCAGAATCCGGGCATTCTGTGGCAGCCCGCATTCTGGCTGGAGCATAGCATGGATAGGGAGGTGTTAGAAAACAAGTTGGGAACCAGATCAGAGGGGCCTTGAAGGCCTCACTCAGCAGAATGGGTTTGCATGGCAGCTACAGTGGCTTGGAGGGTGGAAAAGACAGGCTGAGGAGCTTGGTTCTCCTCTCTGGGTCCATAGAGCACATCCTGCTCTGCGTGATTGGTTCTGCATCTTTAGCTCTGTTCCCGTTTGGAAGCCAGGCCTCAGAGCCCAGATATGAGTTTCAGGCCCCCCAATGACCTCAGCAACTGTTCCAGTGTCTAGAACAGTGCCTGGCATGGAGCAGGCCCTGAAGAAATGTTTACTGAACAAACAATGAAAACATGAGCTGCCACCTACTCCTTGCTAGGTTCTCTAGTTGATTATCTCATTTGATTTTCACTACAAGTGTCATATGGTAGGTATTCCCCTTTTGCACGTGGGAAAACTGTGGCTCAGGAAGTTGCATCAGTTTTCCCAAGGTCACACAGCTTACAAGCCTTCTTGCAAAGCCTTTGCCCTTCCCCCACCCACCCACGGTGCATTGTGAGCGTATATGAATGTGCACCAGCAAAAAGCTAAGCCCAAGAAGAGGGGCAGTAGGGGGGGTGGTCTTTAGACCCTGAGCCAGGAATCAGCCAGCCTCTCTCTACAGCTGGTGGTGGGGGACCTTGGCCCAGGTGGGCAGCAGCCCCGCCTGAAGGTGCTTAAAGGGCCCACAGTGCTGAGCGAAAGCCCGCTACCTGCCCTGCCAGCCGCTGCTGCCACCTTCCTCATGGAGCAACACGAACCCCGGACACCAGCGCTGGCACTCGCGTCAGGCCCTTGTGTGTATGTGTATAAGAATCTCAGGCCCTACTTCAAGTTCAGCCTGCCCCAGTTGCCTCCAAACCCCCTGGAACAGGACCTTTGGAACCAGGCCAAAGAGGTAAGTGATGTGCGGGATGAGAACAAGAAGGCGAAGGTGGCAGCCTTGGGGTTGTCCTCGTTCCCTGCCTGGCTCTGGTGCTCACAGGCTGTACCTTCTTCCCATGCTGGCACAGGACCGGATTGACCCCCTGACACTGAAGGAGATGCTGGAGGGCATCCGGTGAGATCCCACTTCCCCCTTCGTATGCCTCCTACCCCTCTCTCATTCCCCCACCCCTACGCCTTCATCCCAGAGCCCGCAGTCTGAACCCCAGGCCCTGTTCCTTAACTAAACCTGCCATGATGGTCCCTCTCCTTACAGGGGGAAGGCAGAGGTGCCTTTGTCTGTACAGTCACTCAGGTAAGGGCCCTCTGGAGGGCCAGGGCTCCAGAAGCTCCCAGCGGGGAGGGAGCGGCCCTGGAGTGGCCTGGGGAGGGCAGCCAGGCCCAAGGCATGCAGGTGTCAGTGCTCTGTGTGTCCAGGTTTCTGCAGCTGGAGCTGAGTGAAATGGAGGCATTTGTGAACCAGCACAAGTCCAAGTCCATCAGGCGGCAGGTACTGCCCCTCTCTTCTTATTTCCCTAGAAAAAATATATAGACAGTTTTTTGAAAAGACCATGTGACATTAGTGGTAAATTCTGCAGCCAAATGCGACTAGTTTTACTTTGCAGTTACCCTTCCACATATATAGTCACAAAGCTGCAGGGCTTCTACTTTCCAGTTAACAGTGACAGCTTTTTTTCTTTTTTTTAATAAATTTATTTATTTTCATTTTTAAAATTTTTTGCTGCATTGGGGTTTTGTTGCTGCACATGGGCTTTCTCTAGTCGCGGTGAGCGGGGGCTACTCTTCGTTGGCGGTGCATAGGCTTCTCATTGCAGTGGCTTCTCTTGTTGCGGAGCGCGAGCTCTAGGCACGCGGGCTTAGTAGTTGTGGCACACGGGCTCAGTAGTTGTGGCTCATGGGCTTCGTTGCTCCACGGCATGTGGGATCTTCCCGGACCAGGGCTTGAACCCATGTCCCCTGCACTGGCAGGCAGATTCCTAACCACTGCGCCACCAGGGAAGCCCCACAGTGACAGCTTTGAATTGATATATAGTTATGTAGCTTTATATAACTTTTATCATCTTGGGGGTAAAGGTAATATATTTTCATTAGAGAAAACTTAGAAAATAAAGAGAAATATAAGTGACTACACTCACTACTCAGAGGTACTCTTACCAGTTCGGTACATTTCCTTTATAATATGCTTTTATATCCTGCTTCCCTTGAGTACATAACATGATATCTTGAGCATTGGTCTTGAAGAACTCCATTTTTAATCAAGTGGCCCCTTGATTATTTCATTGATTATTCATTATTTCATTCATAGTTTATGTAACTATTCACATGCAGGTCATTGGAGAAGAAATGTCTCCTTTTTATGCACTTCATATTTTTATTAGTTATGCTTTTAATGGCTTTATTGATGATCCTGTTCGTTGATGAACTCCAGTGGTTCCTGACCTAGGGGTTCCTGACCCTAGCCCAGGGATGGGTTCCCATAGCTGTCCCTGCATTTCAGAAAGCCGCAGGGGAACCGGCTACTTCCTGTAGAGGCCACGTGAGCCGAACACACTGACCAACACATACCTCAGCATTTGGCTAGCCTTAGACAATTCTGTGAGAAACACTGTTCTCTCCTGCCGAGCAGCAGCTGAGGTCCACAGGTGTCACTATCACTGAGTACTTTTAAAATCAGGAAGTAAATTAAGTAAGTATTGCTTAAAAGATGCAGTTTTGGGGAGGCCATCGTTCCAAGTATGTGCATGGTTACATGATTGGGAGCCACTAACATCCACGTTTCTATAACTTTTCTCCTTCCACTAGGCATTGAGGATCATTCCTTTTTTTTTATCTTAAAGATAGTCACACAATGAACAGCTTTATCCAAAGAAACATTTTAGTCCCGCTAAATTATTTCCATAGGAGAAATTCCTAAAAAAGGGATCATCCCCTTCTCTTTTGTTTTCTCTCCAATCACAATTAGAAAAAGAACATATGCCCACTGTAGAAACTGTAGGAAAGCACAATGAAGAAATTAAACATCACCTATGATCTCATTGTCCAGAGATAACCAGTGTTTGTATTTAAGGGTTTAGCTTTCCAGCATGTTTTTTTATTCATATATTTTTTTAAAACTGGGATAATACCAACATAACTTTTTACCTGTGTTTTCTCTTAATACGTTAGAAGCATCCTCCCTGTCACTGAGTCTTCTTGTAAAATGTGATTTTTGTAAATGACCGCATGGGTTTTTTATCATACAGATAGCTTATAATTGACTTAGACAATCCTCTTTTGTTAGAAAGTTAGGTTTGTTGCAGTAAACACCTTTGTACATAAATCTTCTGTCACATCTCTGATACTCTTCCTCCTCCTTTGCCCTCTTTCTTCCTGGGGTGTCCTGGGAGTCTCTGGGGGGATGGTGTGAGGGGAGCTACTGGGTGACCCCTGGAGTCCCTCTACAGACAGTCATCACCACCATGACCACCTTAAAGAAGAACCTGGCTGACGAGGACGCTGTGTCCTGCCTGGTGCTGGGCACTGAGAACAAAGAGCTCCTGGTGCTGGACCCAGAGGCCTTCACTGTTTTGGCCAAGGTCAGTGTGGGGCCTGGCCGTGGGCACACCCGTGGCCCAGGCTCCATTCCCTCCCCTGTTCCCCAATATCTCCTGCCCCCCCGTTAGTTCTTGGTAATATGTGTTCATTGTAGAAAATTATAAAATGTAGATAAGCGTAAAGAAAGAGATATAGGGACTTGCCTGGTAGTCCAGTGGTTAAGACTCTGCGCTTCCACTGCAGGGGGCACGGGTCCAAGCCCTGGTCGGGGAACTAAGATCCCACATGCCATGTGATGGGGCCACAAAAAAAAAAAAAAAAAAGAAGAAGAAGAAAAGAAAAAGATATATATCCCCAAATCCCACCACCCACAGATAAGTCTTTGGCATAAGTCTTTGCAGACATTTTCATATTTAGACACAGATATATAACTTTACATAATTTTTTTTTTTTTTTACAAATATGGCCTCGTGGTATAGGATCATGTAAGCTACTGTTTTCATGTAGCAGAAGCTTATCAATATCTTTCCATATCTATATAAAACCACATCAGCCTTTGCAAAGGCCACACAACATCGATTATATAGATGTACCCTGTCACCTATTGTACATTTGTTTGCAGTTTTTTGCTATTATTAATACCACCTCAGTGGGCTTCCTTGCCCAAACATCTTTGCGTGCTTATCTAAATGCTTCCTTATGATGCATTCCTAGAAGTGGCCTAGTTTAGTCAAAGGGCTACATGTTGCCGAGTTTCCTTCCAGAAAAATTGTACAAGTTTAAACTGTGACCAGCAGGGTGTTAGTGAGGAGATTGGGACTTGGAGGAATTACTTCAGGTCAGGGAAGGGCTGGGGCTCCAGGGAAATCGGGATGTTTGAGTCTGTTCTTTGCAGATGAGCCTACCCAGCGTCCCCGTCTTCCTGGAGGTTTCTGGCCAGTTCGATGTGGAGTTCCGTCTTGCTGCTGCCTGCCGCAACGGGAACATCTATATGCTGAGAAGGTAGCCACATCCGTGGTCTCTGGGGCCAGAGGAACATCTCAGAAACCTGGTGGTCTTGAGGGCTTGTAAGATGAGCAGGGGGCTTTGGGGCTGGAATGTGGGAATGGAAAGAGCTGAGAACTTCATATAGGAGGCAGAGCCCTTGAGCACAGGGGACGTGTGGAGGCTTGTCCGATGGGGCCTGGCAAAGTGAGAGACTGGGCCGGGTGGCCGTAACACGAGTGATGCAATCAGATATTAGAAGAAATGAAAATAGTCTCATATTTGTTCTGTTGCTTTTATAGGTATGTGAAATTTCCTTATGCATTAGTTTGATATTTCTCAACAGTCATTTTTTTTAATTCAAGAAATGTTTTTGAGCACCTACTATGTATTAAGCATTGTATAAGGTATTGGGGATATATTGATGAACAAAACATTAACAAAGTCCCTGCCCTTGTGGGAAGATAGATATTAAAGTCAACAAACCAAGGTAATATTGCAAACTGGATGCATGCTATGGAGAAAAAATATAGGCTCAATGGGAAAAAACAATGGGGTCAGGGTGATCAGCGAATGCCTGTCTGGGGAGATGACTTGAAGGTTAAGAAGGAGCCAGTTGTTCAGAAAGTGAAGCAAGGGCTTCCCTCGTGGCGCAGTGGTTGAGAGTCCGCCTGCCGATGCAGGGGACACAGGTTCGTGCCCCAGTCCGGGAAGATCCCACGTGCCGCGGAGCGGCTGGGCCCGTGAGCCATGGCCGCTGAGCCTGTGCGTCCGGAGCCTGTGCTCCGCAAAAGTGAAGCAAGAGTGTTACAGGCAGAGGAAATTTAAGCGAACTCTAGGTGGGAAAGACATTGTCTTGTGCCACTCAAGCTTGGTGGCAAGACATGACGTAGAGACCAGGGTCGGTTCATGCAGGACCTGGTGGGACATGGTAAAGATTTTGGATTTTATCCGAAGTGCAGTAGAAAACTATTATGGGGTTTTACTCAGAAGAATGACATGACCCGTTTACATTTTTTAAAGATTACCGTGCTGGGTGGAGGGTAGATTGGAAGGAGTCCCGGAGACCAGTGGGGAAGCTCTCAGAGGAGTCATCAGGTGGGAGATGACTCTGGCTCAGACTTAAGCAAGGTGGGCTAGAGCCTGTGATGGACAGACAGGAATTACCCCTACTTTCTGGATAAGAGAAATTAAGACTCAGAGGCCAGGAAACTGAGAACAGTGCATTTACACAGAATAAACTCCTCATGCTTTTCTGATGAATTACTAAACTGCGTCAGTCCATTACTTTGTCTAACCTGCAGTGCGCTCACTGTAAACTGGTAAGTGCCAGGTTATCACACAAATTACTGTGGTAAAGTTGAGAGGAAGACTAGGAGGGAAGACACACTTCCTGTTATCCAAGGTCATGCAGTACTAAGTCACAGAGGTGGAACTAATAGCGCAGTCATCTGCTTGTGGGCCAAGGTTCCTGCCAGGATAGTCTGTGGGGCTTGGAAAGAGGAGGGTCAGCCGGGGAAGGAGAGAGGGTTCCTCTGGGGCTGGGAGAGTGTGTCTCTATTCCACAGAGACTCCAAGCGCCCCAAGTACTGCATCGAGCTGAGTGCCCAGCCTGTGGGGCTCGTCCGGGTTCACAAGGTCCTGGTGGTGGGCAGCAACCAAGACAGCCTGCATGGCTTCACCCACAAGGTGTGGCCTCTGGGAAAGCACCAGCCCCAGCCCCTCCACCCGTGCCTCCTTAGTCCCCCTCAGCAGGCGAGCCCTTCCGGCCTTCCCTTCCCAGCAACTCCAGCCACCCCTTCTTTCCACTCTTAAGCCCTGAGCCCCCTGCAGACGTTTAGCCGTCCCCTGCCCCCCACGCAGGGTAAGAGGCTGTGGACGGTGCAGATGCCCGCGGCCATCCTGACCATGAACCTCCTGGAGCAGCGCTCCCGGGGCCTGCAGGCCGTCATGGCCGGACTGGCCAACGGAGAGGTCCGCATCTACCGCGACAAGGCCCTGCTCAGCATCGTCCGCACGCCGGTGAGCTGCTGCCTCCTCCTTGCCCCGCTCCCACCTGTGGGGCCCCTTCGCTGCCTCTCCTGACCCCACTCCACCTGCCACCCTTAACTTCTGATGCATTTTGAAAACATTCGTTGAGCATCCCATATGCACAACTCACTGTATTAGAAGGATAAATCAGTGACTGAATCCTTACTGTCGGGGAACTTACAGTCTGAAGTGATAGCCAGCTAGAGACACAGCCGATTCAAATACAAGGCAGACTAAAGCAGAGCAAAGCACTGAAAAAGCACAGAGGCAGCCCAGTGACTGGGGGCGGGGGGTGGTGAAGGATAAATGGGGATGGAACTCAGGAGCCATTTCACAGGGCAAACCACAATTCAGCTGGGCCTCGAAGCAGTCTGCTTCGATAAATGGAGTGGATAAATGGAGATAGAATATTCCAGACTGGAAATAACATGAACAAAGGCTGAGAGGCATGAGTGTTCTTTAAAGGAGTCCAGGTAGTTTGATGAATCTGGACCAGACTTTTTCAAACAAAATCAATTTAATAGGCCAGCAACAGAACCAGAAAAAAGAAGTTCAGAATATATCACATGTGAAACTTAGTGTACCTGTATGTATAAAGTGTCATATGTCACAATGTAAAATTGGAAAGCAGCTGGTTTGGACCACAGGCTGCTGGGAGGGCAGGCGGTGTGGTGTGTGGGTTGGGGAAAGGGCAGGGAGAGAACTGATAGAAAAGGCAGGTTGGCGTCAGATGCGGAAGGCCTTGAATGTCCTGACAAGGAGGGCAAAAGCCACTGGAGGTTTTTCAGCAGGGAATAGGTGTGGTCATATTTGTATTTTTGAAAGGCAGCAGAGGCAGCAGTGTGAAAGACACTGGGGAGGAAGACTAGGCTGGGAGACCTCTTAGAAAGCTGACCCCAAAGCCAGTGATGTTCAGTCTGGAACTGTGGCCGTGGCAGTGAGGAGGGGGCTGGGATTAGAGGCAGCGTGGCTCCAGGCCTCGCCTCACATCTCACCTCTTACATCATATCTGGGGTCTCCAAGCCTTATCCCCCTCCCCCCAGACTTGCTCTCCTCACTGAGTCATTTTCCCAGCTAAACTCTGACATCGCCACCGTAGGATGCAGTGACCAGCCTTTGCTTTGGCCGCTACGGGCGGGAAGATCACACCCTCATCATGACTACACGAGGTGAGGCGAGTCACGCCTGGCAGGGGTTTTAAAGTTGGGAGTCAGTGAGATAGGCCAGATCCTGGGAAAGAAGAGGAGGCGGATGTGCAACATTGGTGGGCCTAGGTTTGGAAAGCAGGGCTTGCAGACACGTCCTGTCTGGGCTGGGCCTTCACTGGGGACAGCTCACCAGCAGTCTGATGTCACTACCTGGGGGCCAGGCCCTGGCTGTGTCTCCAGTTCACCCCAGTATCCGCCACAATGCGGAACTGGAACATCACAGTGGTCAATAAATAACTACTAGGGAATTCCCTGGCGGTCCAGTGGTTAGGGCTCTGCACTTCCACTACAGGGGGCCCGGGTTCGATCCCTGGTCAGGGAAGTAAGATCCCGCAAGCAGAGTGGCGCAGCCAAAAATAAACAAGTAAATCAGCTGCTAAATGAATGTATGAATTAATGGTAGGACACACTTCATTCCTTCCAGAAACTCAGAGTCTCAGCAGGAAGACTGAAATGGGTCGATATGAGACAGATTGTTTGGGAAGAAAGAATGGGAATGTAGGGTAGAAATGGGGAGGACAAATCTGCTTCTGCCTGTCCTCCTCCCTAGGTGGTGGCCTGATTATCAAGATCCTGAAGCGCACAGCAGTGTTTGTGGAGGGGGGAGGTGAAGCAGGTCCCCCACCAGCCCAGGCCATGAAACTCAACATGCCCCGAAAGACCCGGCTTTATGTGGATCAGACGCTGCGAGAGCGGGAAGCTGGCACTGGTGAGATTCAGGCTGGCTCCTTCCTCTTCCTCCTCCCTTGCGCCAAAGCAGCAGGAACTGGGTGAATGCCGCCTGGGTGCCCTGAGCAGTGCGAGGAGACCTGGGTGAACCGGGTGGGTCTCATGCCTCTGGAAGCCCAGAGACAGCCTAGGAGGTACACCCTGCCAACAAAGAGCTACAGCTCAAGGGGGAAGGTGCTGTGGGTGAGGGCGAGAGCCCTTAGGATTCGAGGAGGGAGCAGCCACTTTTAGATGGAGGAATTCTCATGAGAGAAGTAGAATCTGATCGAGGTTCTTCCTTATCCTATTTGATTTTCCTGCTCTTTTTGTTCATTCATTCATTCATTCACTTAATACCTATGATTATGCCAGGCCTTGTGCCAGGTGCCTAGAATTAGGCCAGTCCCTACCTAAAGAGCTCAGTAGACCTTGCTAACTTCATGTTGCGTGACAGGTGTAGAAGAAGTCTCTGCAGAGGGCTGTGTGTTTGCCTGGGAGCCTGGGAAAGGCTTCAGAGAGAGATGATATTGGATTTGACCCCAAAAGCTGATTATAAGCCTACCAGCCAGAGAGGGAGAGGGGAGGGCGATTCAGGAAGAGGCTTGGGAAAAGGCACAGGGCCCTACCTGGATCTAAGCAGCATCTGTCATGTGGCTGCGGGTACAGTGCAGGAGGGCTCAGTGGCCAGTGGGGAGGCTGGGAAAGCAGGTCAGCTGGCTCCGAAAGGGTCTGGAATGCAAAGTTAAGATGTTTTGGTTTATTCCGTGTAGTGGAGAGATGGGAAAGATGTTAAGCAGAAAAATACAGTAACTCAACCCCCTCTGTCTTTGAAAGGAATCTGGCTTACAGTTTAAAGGATAAATTACAGGATAAAGAAAATAGCTAGCAGGCTGTTGTAGCCTAGAGAACCCAAGAGAAGCAGCTGATATATTAGAGGAATAATTAGGAAGTTCTCTAAGGTATAATGAAAATGGCAGGAATCAATAGCTTTTGTATTGGATACCAACAGTATCCAGTTAGAAAAGAGAAAGTTTCCATTCACAATAGCAAAGAAATCCTTAGACGTAAACTTAACAAGAAAACATACAAAGTCTAATAAAGAAAATTATAAAACTGCTTTAAAGAACAGGAAAGACCACCTGGATATTTAAATAATGAGACTTACCAAGTCTCAGGGTAGTAAGACCTGAAGTTGTAAAGCTGTTGATTAGTTAACAGCTTCTGAAATTAATCTAGAAACATAGCAAAGTTACAGTTAAAATCCCAATGGGTTTTATTTTGAGGACTTGACCAGTTGATTCTAAGAGTAAATCTAAGAAGTTTGGGGAAAATAAGAATGAGGAGACTCAGCCCATCAGATAGCAGAATGAACTATGAAGCTGTAGGAGTTAGCAGCTGTGGCATCAGTATGGGAATTGATACAGCTCAGTGGCACGTTTAGGAAGTCCAGAAACAGACCCTTGTACATGTGGAAAGTCAGTATATGATAGATGTGTCATTTCAAATTAGTGGGGGAAGGAGAGACTGTCCAAGAAACATAATTAGGACAACTTGTTTCTAGAAAAAAAGTTAGAACTCTACCTCATACCAAACACAAAAGTTAATTCTGGGTAAATTAAAAATAAACTGTGAAAGTATTAGAGGAAAAAGGAAAGATGAAAGGATGGGGTAACATAAAGATGAAAGCTTCTGAATGGCAGAAGGCTCCTCACAGGCACAAGGAGCAAGGACAGACTGGCTGACCAAGGTGCTCAGTCTGGAAAGTAGGGACAGTGGGATGGAGGGGAGGGAGCGGGCTCTGGAGAGGCCCTGAGGAAGAGTCATCCGACCTTGGAAAATGATTAGCTGTGAGGGGTGAACCTGGGTGACTTGATGGGTGGGGATGCAGTGACGGAGTTAAGGAAATGAGGTTGGTTTCCACAGCGTTGAGCTCCAGGGGTTGATGGGACGTCCAGGTGGAGGTGCCCATCAGGCAGTTAGAAGCAGCAGGCAGGCCGGGCACCGAGCTGCCCAAGATGAGTGCACAGTACCAGGTGCAGACGCAGGCCGGACCCTGATGCACCCCTGCCCTCAGGAGCTCGCGGTTGTTCCTCTTTGGGGTGGTCACAGCCAGGGCAGGACATGGATGGGGCAGCGAGGAAGACAGAGGATGAGAAGATGACCAAGGACAAAACTCGAGGGAACCCCAGCCCTTACTAGAAGGAGCCAGCAAAGGAGGCTGCGGTTGTGTGGGCAGCCAGGTGGTGGGAGAACCAGGAAGGAGGAGCAGGGAGTGGTCCGCAGCGTCCAGTGTCACCAGAGGCTGGCTGTGGGACCTCAGTCCTCCTGTTGCCCACATTCCCAGCCTCTGCCCACTGTGCCTTCCTCTCGCACTCTCCCCACGGCCGCCTGAGCAGCACCCTCTCCCCCAGCCCTGCCCCCTCCTCCTGCCTCACGTCCAGCATCGGCCCTTTGTGTGCCTCCTCAGCCATGCACCGGACCTTCCAGGCAGACCTCTACCTGCTGCGCCTCCGGGCCGCCCGTGCCTACGCGCAGGCCCTCGAGTCCAGCCTGAGCCCCGTGTCTGCGACGGCACGGGAGCCGCTCAAGCTGCACGCTGTGGTGAGCACCCACGTGGCGGGGGGCATCAGGCCGCCTCAGGGCCAGAAGGGCAGAGGTCAGGGCTGTGCGGGCACCCCTCGGCCCAGGAGCGGATCCCAAGGCAACTAGGCCCCGTGACCCTTCTCACCTTCCCACAGGCCCAGGGCCCAAGTCTCACGTCCTCCTCTGTGAGAGCGCTCTCACCTCTTTCCTGTGCCGCCTCTTCCCCTTGGCTGGCCGCAGAGTGGGGCACGCTCTCCAGCCCCCTTATTCCATGCGGTGCCTCAGACGAGCCCCCGGAATTGGGGCAGGGCACACAGGTAGTCACCTTGGGCTGTTTCTTCTCAGGAGCCTTGAGGGACTCTTACAGCTGTGGTACAGGGAAGAAACCTGTTCATTTCGGTAACTGCCGGCAGCCCAAGGAGTTGGGACTGCCCAGTACTGGGAAGGGGCCATCCTGAGACTTAAACTGGCACAAGGAGGATGAGGGCCCCTTGTACTCAGACACAAGTGACCTCAAGGTCGTCAGGGCTCCAGCCAGCTCTGAATGGGTCCCTGAGGTGTGCTGTCTGATCCAGTTGGGCTTCTGATATCTCTTTCCCTAAAGAAAGTGGATAGATACAGAGAGGAAGCGGCTGCAGAGCAGTCGAGGATAAGAGGGAGGAAAGTGAAATCCTTGCAGCCACCAGAGGACGAGAGGAGGAGGTTGGGCCAGGCCCTGCGAAGAGCGAGGTGGGGCAGGGCACGGACACAGGTGGGAGCCAGGGCCGGCTTCCCCAGGCCAACTGTGCCTCCGACCAACTTACTGAGTGGCCTCGGTCGAGCCCCTTCTCCGCTCTGGGATTTTGCTCATCCCTTGCACACGGAGCCAAGCTTCTGAGCTCCGTGCCTTTTGAGGGGCGGATGGACAGTGCGTTAGAGTGGTTCGAGGAAGGTGACTTGAGGGCGCTGATGGGGGAGCGGGCGGGCAGGGCCGGGGTAGGCCATATTCGGCCCCCAAGGCCACTAGGTCCTACGGGCTTTCTCTCCACCCCACCCTCTGCACAGGTTCAGGGCCTGGGCCCCACCTTTAAGCTCACCCTTCACCTGCAGAACACCTCAACAGCCCGACCCATCCTGGGGCTGCTGGTCTGCTTCCTGTACAACGAGGGGCTCTATGCTCTGCCCCGGGCCTTCTTCAAGGTACTGGACCCACCTTACTGAGACCTGGAGTGAGAAAGGATGGGCGGGGCCGGATTAGATGTCTGCAGGTCAGAGGCGAGGGAGCTGGCAAGTGGCTACAGCCACAGACCAGACTAGGGTGCAGCAGGGGCCCTGGGGAGAGCCCCCGAGACCTGCCTCAGCTGCTTTTCTCCCAGCCTGTGAGGTCTCAGGGAGGCACACCGAAGGTTCTGGGAGAACAGTGAGAGTCCAGGCCTCACCGGTGCTGCTCTCAGAAGCCTGTTGGTGCTCTGGGGTCCCAGAGCCCGCCCTGTTTTCTAGCCACTCCTGCAGCAGGAATGGGAGCCCCACGGAGACTCTTCCAGAGTGAAGAGCCTTGTTTCCCCCCAGGTCCAGGTTTGACCCTAAGTTGGAAGGACCAGAAACTGAGAAAGACTTTGGGATGTGAAAGAAATAGCCCTGGACTTGGTTGGAGGTTTAGGTTTAGGGACTTCTCTGGTGGCCCAGTGGGTAAGACTCCACGTTTCCCCTACAGGGGGCACGGGTTCAATCCCTGGTCGGGGAACTAAGATCCCGCCTGCTGTGCGGTGTGGCCAAAAGAAAAAAAAAAAAAAGGTTTAGCTTTAATTAGGGACATGCATGCAGCCCTGCGGCATTCACTCCCCCCACTGAGCCCACATCCTCCTCAAACTGGCTTGTCATCCCTGCCCACCCTGCCAGGGCACACTGAAGTTCAGCTGGGACAACAGGTATGAGAGTGCTTTGGAATCTACCAAACACTGTCTAGGCGTGAGGGCTGACTTCTTTACCTCTTTGTCCCCAAACTTAGGTCCCCTTGCTGGTGCCAGGGCTCAACTACCCCCTGGAGACCTTTGTGGAGAGTCTTAGTGACAAGGGCGTCTCAGACATTATCAGGGTAGGTGCCGGTTGGTACTAGTTGGGGAGGTCAGTGTGAGTGAGTGCGGACAAGGCCCCCGGGTGGCTGCCAGGATGGGGTGGGTGTGTGCCCAGTAGAGGCCTCCCAGCCTCCCCCTCCCCTTTGACAAAGCCCTGCACTAGGGCCAGTGCAGACCAGACCGTGCTTGGCCTTTGCAGGAGCAGGGGTAAAGGGGGAATGCCCCCTACTACCTGGGGCACCTTCTCCATAGGTGCTGGTGCTCCGAGAAGGCCAGAGCGCACCCCTGCTCAGCGCCCATATCAACATGCCTGTGAGTGAGGGGCTGGCAGCTGCCTGACGCCTGAGCCCGTGTTAAAGCCCCTGTGGAATCAGGACCAGGGAGTTCCAGCCCCTCCCACTGAGCCGGGCAGAGTCCACGGCCCCAGGCCCATTCCAGTGCAGCCGTGTGCTGGGCGACAGCCTCCCTCTCCTCTCCTAGTGCCCCTTTCTCACCACCCTGACCACTGGGTGACCTGTAGCAGCAGGTCAGTGAGTCCCCAGGAGGTTGGGCTCCGTCCTCCTCAGGGAAACCCAGGCATTGGCCCTTTGGGCTCTCTCTTCTCCCCACTTTTCCCCAGAAGCTACTCCCAGGTCTGAAGGCAGAGTTCTGAAGTGTTCAAGGTGAGATGAGGGCATAGGCCCAGCCTCCTCGTCTGCCGCTTCCCTTAGGCATGTCACTCTGCTTCTGCTGCAGAATTGGCTGGGGCCTTGCCTGAGACAATCAGAGGCTCTTCTTGGGTGAGACTGAGCCCCCTGTTGCTCCCTGGGGTTCCAGAGGCTTGGCTCCTCCCAGCTCAGCTTGCAGGCAAAACACATGCTCTGATCTCCCCTCTGTGAGCTCAGCAGGGGGCCCCGGGAATAGCTGCCTTCCCACAGGAAGTCTTGGGCTCAGCCAAGGTCTCAGGCCTGTGATGCTCCATGAAGATCACCAAGGGAGAAGCTGCTGCGGGGGGTAGAGAGCGCCGTGCAGGAGCTAGTGGCCCCAGCCCCCCACCAGGCTTCTGAAGACCACACCGCTGCTGCTCCTGACTTGGATGCTCGTGCCCAGAAAGCATCCCAGGAGAGGAAGGCTCAGAGAGACAGAGCAGAGGTGGGGCCGCGGCACACAGGAGGGGCGTCTCTGGGGTCCTGGGGAGAGGGTTTGGGAGGCAGAAGCCTAGAACTGCCAGTCAAGATGCTCTTCTGTGCCCCGGAGCCCAGATCGGTCAGTTGAGGGGCAGGTTCACTGGGCAGTGGCCACAGTGTGAGATTCACTGGAAAGGCATGGACCATAGGTGTTGAGTCAGGTTGAAGACTGAATGAAGGTACATGTTTAGACCTTAAGCATCAGAGACCCACAGTCTGGGCCCTTGGTGCTTCCTGGAGCCCCCTGGCTAGTCTGCCTGGCCCGCCTCACAGCCTTCTTTTGAGTTAGCGCTACCAGGGCCGCCCTGAGCCATTTGTGAGCCAGGAACCCTACTGCCTGAGGAAGGACCTATATCTTCTGTCTGACCAGGTACAGGCTAGCATGTGGCAGACAGCTCAGGCTTGTGGGAAGTACCCAAATCCCTGTGTGTTTCAGTTTCCCGAAGCGTAAAATGAGGCAGTTTGACCAGATTCAGCTCTAACATCCTAGAGTTGGCAGCCCCTCTAGAGGAAACAAGGAGTCAACTCCAGAAAGTAAGTGCAGGAGTAAGTGCAGAGCTTTTGCTCTTGAGACCAAGGGCCCCAAGCTGATTGATTCTGCCGGGCAACAGCCTCTGTGCCGGAGACAGTGAGGGACAGCCCACGGTCACCCGCTGTCCTCCCCAGGGAATGTATTCTGGGGCCAGGTTAAGAGAAGCAAGGGGACTGGACCAGAGAAAGAGCCCCATCCCCATCCTCTCTGCAGAGTCCAGCCACTCGCAAACAAACCAATTGGATCAGGGTGGTCTAGACTTTCTAGATCAAGCTGACTGAGGCACAGTTGGAATAAGCAGGAGGTTTCGTCTGGAAATGGAAACGACAGGTAGAGCGAGTGTCGCTGTCAGTCAGAGAGATTTCAGCTTAACCTGAAGAGTCTTCTGAGACAGCTTATCAGAGATGGAAGGGCCTGCCCTAGCAGGTATTGGGCCCCTTGTCACTGGAGCTGTGTCACTGGGGCCTCACAATCCCTTTCACCCCAGTGAAGTGATGAACTGTGTGAACTCGGAACAAAGAAGTCTGATCTGGGTTCAACTCATAGTTATTCATGATGATGAAAGCGGAGAAACTATTCCTAAGCCCAACCTAAGGTGAATTTATATGATATAATACAATGTACCTATTATTAAAAAATATGTGAATTGTACTGGTCTGGACAGTGTAAATAAAGCAATACAAAGCAAGAAACTGTGCATGATACCCAATGCCCTCACCAGTTAGAGCTCCAAGAAGCTGTACATTAAGGATGAGGAGAGTGGTGCTGCCTTTTTTTTTTAAGTATCTAAAAACATGTACCTACTTGGTACTGTGGAATTAGGCAGTTTATAACAAGAAAACAGCCTCTCAGGAATTTCCTGGTGGTCTAGCAGTTAGGACTCGCGCTTTCACTGCAGTGGCCCATGTTCAGTCCCTGGTCAGGGAACTAAGATCCTGCAAGCCTCTCCCCATTCCCCAGTACTGCTCCCGTGCTACAGTTCTCTTAGCTATTCTTTAAATATGTTTATGCTTAGACATTATTTCTTGGCTCCCTATCGTAATAGATGAGGCTTATAGCTCTCTTGTGGGAGCACCCTGCCCTCTCCTTTTCTCCCCAGTTTTTAGGTAAATTCATACTCACTGTTTGGATTACTGTGTGAAAGTTATCTACTTATTACAGAGCCAAGAATTGGGCCATAATTAAATTACCTTTTTTGTGTACTTATTTTTCATGGAGTTAATAATTGCCCTGTTTTTTTCATTTGCTTAGTTTTCTATATTATACTGATTGCTAATTCTTCCTCCTCCTAGTCTGACGGTTCCTCTTTTTTCTGTACACTTCTGTTCATCCCCGGCCTAAGTGAATGCTGTTGGCTCTCTAGAACTGCAGCGAGCACTTCTCCTGGGAGTTCTGTTTGCCATGTTCTGGGCTAGATTCCCTAATTCCTGGACCCCCATGTCTTTTTTCATAATTCTTCCATTTTTGGTCAGGGAACTAAGATCCCACATGCTTCATGGCATGGCCAAATAATAATAATTTGAAAAAAAACACTTGGGCTTCCCTGGTGGCATAATGGTTAGGAATCTGCCTGCCGATGCAGGGGACACGGGTTCAAGCCCTGATCCGGGAAGATCCCACATGCTGCAGAGCAACTAAGCCCATGTGCCACAACTACTGAGCCTGCACTCTAGAACCCGCGAGCCACAACTACCGAAGCCCGCACACCTAGAGCCCATGCTCTGCAACAAGAGAAGCCACCGCAATGAGAAGCCCACACGCTGCAATGAAGAGTATCCCCCACTCGCCGCAGCTAGAGAAAGCCCATGGGCAGCAACAAAGACCCAACGCAGCCATAAATAAATAAATGAATAAATAAATAAGCAAAAAATAAATAAAAAAATTATTTTTAAAAAAACTTAAAATGTAAGACAGCGAGAGTATATAAAATGAGCAGGCAAACTTGAAAAAGAACCAAACAGAATCTCTAGAAATGAAAAATAAAACATTTAATGACACATAAAACTCGATGAGTTGGTACAACCACAAAAACAAACAAAAACCAAAAAAACTTCAATAGATTGGTTTAGCAGTTGATGAAAGACTTAATTGGAAGATAGATTTGTGGAAATTATTCAGAATGCCAGAAACAGAGAAAATAGGAGCTATTAAGAGACAAGGAGGGGGACTTCCCTGGTGGTCCAGTGGCTAAGACTCTGTGCTAGAACTGATGAAAGACATCAATTCATAGAATCAAGAAACCTAAGGAATCCCATTTAGATAAATACAAAGAAAACCACACTTGGACGCATCACAGTAAAATGTAGAATACCAAAGACAAAAAAATCTTAAAAGCAGTTGGAGACAGAAAGTATCTTCAAAGGAACAGTAACAACAAAACAATGAAATAGATGACAGCTGACTTACAGCAACAATAGACACCAGAAGACAGAATAAAATTTTCAGTATATTGACAAGAAATAACTATTAGCCTAGAGTTCTACACCCAGCAAAAAAATAACTTAAAAGGGTAAAACACTAGCCGAGATAGGACAACAGCACAAAATAAAGGAGTAGAAATATATCCAAGAACGTTAATTACAATAGATAAAAATGACTGAATACTGGGACTTCCCTGGCCGGAAGTTCAGTGGTTAAGACTGTGCTTCCACTGCAAGGGGCACAGGTTTTATCCCTGGTCAGGGAACTAAGATCCCACATGCTGTGTGGCGTGGCCAAAAAGAATGGACTGTACTTCAGTTATTAAAAGACAAAGATTTAAACAATCCATCTACAGGCCATTCCTAAGAGGCAGAGAATGAAAGTAAAAGAATCAAAACTCAACATACTTGGAATAGAAGGGAACTTTCTCAGCCTAATAAAAGTCATCTATTAAATAAAAAAACACAGCAAACATATTTTATGGTGAAATATTGAAATCATTCCCTCTATTGTGAGAAACAAGTCAAGGGTAGCCACCCTTTCTTCCACCCAGACAGAGGCAAGAAAAATAAGAGATAGTTCCCCGGTGGTCTAGTGGTTAGGATTCTGGGCTTTCACTGCCACGGCCTGGGTTCAATCCCTAGTCGGGGAACTGAGATCCTGTAAGCCGCGTGGCACAGCCAAAAAAAAAATTAAAAATAAGAGATATAAAAATTAAAAAGGAAGAACAAAACTATCTTTTCATAGATATGATTATAAATACAGAAAACCCAGAAGAATTTTCAAGGAAATAAATGTTTTAGATTTGCTGGACATAAGAAAATTATTTTCATAAACTATGAATGATAGCATCACAATATCAAATACATAAGAATAAATCTAACCCAAAAAGCCATGATCTTTATGAGAAAACATACATAACTTTATTGAAAACATTACATGGAGAGATACACCATGTTCACGAACTGGAAAATTCAATTTCATGTGGATGTTGATTTTCCCCAAACTGGTCTATAGATTCAGTTGGGTTCCAGTCACAATTTCAAGGGGGGGTTTTATTGGTGGAACTTGACAAGCTGATTCTAAAATTTATATGGAAGAGCAAGGGCCAAGTAGATCTTAGGAGATCATACACAGGGGTAGATAAAATGATCAGGGGGACAAGAGAGAAAAATAAATTGTGGTATATTCAATGGATCACTATACAGCAAGGAAAAGGAGTGCTCTACAGCCACACACGTTAATTTGGATAAATCTTAGAAATATTGAAGGAAAAAGCAAATCACAGAAGAATAAACATGGCGTGGCTCCGTTTATATAAAATTCAAAAACATGCAAAACCAGTACAAACATATGTAATAAAATCACGGGGCAAAGCAAGGGGATGATTAAGACAGCACAGTGTTTCCTCTACCAGGGAGGGGCACAGCAGGGACCTCAAAGGAAATAGTATCCATTTCTTAAATAGGGGTGGGGAGGGTGTTGTTTCTATTTTATAAATATTTCCTTGTATCCTTTCACTATAAAAAAAAAAAAAACAAGAAAAGATATTCTGGAGGGTGAGGGGTAAAGCAGTAGAGGAAACAGAAGTCTTCCAATGCTTAGGTACAGCACAAAGTGCCAGGTACACCAAGTTCCTAACAGAGTTAAAAAATAGTAATAGAGCATGCTGTTTAGAAAAACAAAGAAGGCTTAGCAGCTCAAACCTTTGTGGGCATGGGCGGGGCCTGTCAGAAGGGTGGGCTTCTCTGCGGGTTCTTGGAAGGCAAGCCTGCCATGTCACTGAAGGACTACCCCCCTCCCCCAGCAGCACTTGTAGGTTTTCACTTAACTCCATTTTTGGTCCAGTCCCTCACCCCCAACCCTCCCCAGGGCCCCCCGAGATGCAAAGCTTCTTCGAAAAGCCCCCGCCTCCACCCCAGCGGGGTAGCGAGGGGTCAGGTGGGTCCTGGGGGGCAGGGCAACCTAGCTGCTTCTCATAGAGACCTTGAATCAGTCCCGGCCCTACTGTCAGCCCCAAACCTTGCCTTCCACAGTGAACCTCTCCAGGGCTCCTGGGGACAATCGGGCTGCCTCTTGGCCCCTCCAAGAAGGGAACGCTTAATTTCAACTTCTAATTCTCTAAGAGAGTAAATGAGCCTCTATCCACTTTCCATCTTTCAGAATGTTGTCAGGCTCTTTGGTCTAGTGCTGTCTCCCTCCTATTTTCTTTGTCTTTGTAAATTTACATCATTTTTAATTTCTTTACTATCATTTTAGATTTTAAGAGGAAACAAACTCACATGTTTAAACCTGCCACATTTAACTGGAAATGTCTATTTACTATATTTAAATAAAAGTGTTTAACAAGTAGCCCCTGAAGTGTCCAGAGAGGAGGAGCTTAGCAGTCTCAGCACCATCCAGCCAGCACAGATGCTTGAACAGCCCCACCTGATCTCTCTGCCTTGATTTTTTCGGCTGTTCAAGGGTGAAGGAGAAGGCACAAAGATCTGGGTTCAAATCCGGACTCCTCCATTTACTACCACGTGATCTTATCACATCAACTCTCAGAGCTTTATCACCCACATAATTGCTGCCCAGGGCACCAGGTTAGCTGGAGAGAAGTTCACTGAAATTGTTGCTGTGAAATGTTCCTAACTATAAAGCACTGAACCTGGGGAAGAATTCTGGATTCTCATACCCTGGAACACTACATTCTGCCTTAAGCTGCTGGCCAACCCCCCCCCCCCACACACACACACAAGGCCACAGGAGGCAGAGCCCTGGCTGCTCACACCCTCAGGCATTCTGTGGTTCCCAGGCCTGCCAATCAGAGGAAACAAAAACAGCAGCCCTGGAAACAGTGAAGGTCCAGAAACCCACAGAGACGGAGGGAGTCCAAGAACCAAGTGGGCACTTTATTAACCTGGCAAAGGGGCAGCTGGGCAGGCCGAGCAGCCCCCTGCCAGACCCTTCGCTGTACTCAGGGGCCACTGATAGAGGCAGAGCCGCAGGGCCCAAGCCCTGGACACTAGGAGTCCAAGCTGGGCAAGGGCAAGGCTAAGGGCGGGGCTGGAGTTGCCGAAAGCAGGCATCAAGTACCAGCGTACCAGCCTGCCGCCCCTTCTGAGGCTGGGGGTGGGCCTGAAATGAGTTATCTGAGTCCCCTCTCCTGTTCCCCACTCCTTGTACAGCTCAGGCTCTTCCTGGAGTCAGGAAGCCATGAGTCCCACATCAGCTGTGGTCTGGAACGTGATGCCATCCCCCGGCAGCGGGGAGGCCAGGAAGGGCCAGAGCCAGACAAGGACCCAGCGGGGCCCCAGGGCCGCCTGCAGGTTGTGGGAGAGGCCCAGGTCGTAAGAGTGCTGGCCCCGAGCCCACTCCCACGTGGTCTGGCCCCTCAGCAGCAACATCCCATGGAAAAGTAGTCCAGCCCCGCACAACAGTGCGCCCGCCACACACGTGTCGGTCACGAAGGCCAGCGCGAACTGCGCCAGAGACACTCTGCCTGCAAGGAGAGAGAGCAGAGAGGGTCAAGGAGAAGCAGCAGGCCCCAGTCATCCCAGAGCCCAGCTCCTGCCCTCCTCCCGTCCCCTACTCCACCATGAAGCAGGGCGCATTCCTCCACTCAGCAAACACTGAGTTGTTGCTCCCTGGCCAACCCATGCCGGCTGATGGGAACACACTGGTGAAACGGGCAGACACAGCCCCCTGCCCTAGATGCGACTTTCACTCATGCATCACAAACCTGTGAGCACCTCCCATGAATACCAGGATGAATGGCAGGTAGCATGTCCGACCTCAGGGAGCTCACAGACAGACATTCAAGAGATCATGTCTCAGTTACTTAATTACAGCTGTGATGTGTGTGACAATGGAAAAGTACAGCATCTTGCATCATCTTGACCCACAGAAGGTAGTAAGTATCAGGTGAACAAATGAACTACAAGATGCCGTGAAATGTTATGTCAAGCGAGAGAAGGCAGACACAAAAGGTTATGTATCGTATGGGGCCATTTGTATGAAATGTCCCAAACAGACAAAGCCATAGAGACAGAAGATTAGCGGTTGCCAGGGGCTGGGGGCATTAGGGGGAAATAGGGAGTGACTGCTTAATGGGTACTGGGGGCGATGAAAATGGTCTGGAATTAGACAGTGGTGATGGCTGGACAACACTGCGGATATACTAAATGCAACTGAACCGTGCACTTGAAAATGGTTAAAATTATGAGTTTCATGTTACGTGAATGTTTTTCCAATAAAAAAAGAGAGCCTACTGGCGGGGAGACGACATGGAAACTTATTAAGAGGCTCAGGGAAATAAACTTCATCTATCTTGACAGGGATATTTTGGGTGATGCCTGAAGGTTAAGGAGGTATTTGCTAAGTGAAGAGGGGAGAACACATTCTGTGTGAAGGTCCTGAGGCAGGATGGAGAGGTGCCTGCGATACAAGTGAGTGCACAGTTCTGGAAGCTCAGGAGAGAAGCCCAGGCTGGATACGCAGATTTGTGAGCGGTTGGTACCCGGGCGGTTCCGAGACCCGGCAGAGTGTGTAGGGAGATGAGAATGGCGTCTCGACCTCAGCCCGGAAACCAGGTCCTTAGGGATCAGATACAGGGAAACCAGGAAGGAAAGGAGGAAACCCCAAAGTACAAGCCGTCGGGGACGTCAAGCATAGAGCCCTTTAAGGAGGCTGAAGGCCAGCAGTTTTATGAGGCTGAAAGGTCTCATGAGCAAGAAAAGAACACAGAAGGGTCCTCTGGGTTTTGTGGAGACAGAGGCCTGGGGACTGTGGCAGTCTCGGAGGACGGGTGGGGGCAGAAGCCAGTTTGGAGCAGGCGGAGGAATGGGTGGGAGGCAAGGAAAAGCAGCCTATAGCCCAGGCAAGTCCTTTGACTTGGCTGCTGATGGAAGAGCCAGAAGGCATGAGCTGGAAGAGGAGGACGTGGGGTGAAGAGAGGCTTTGTACCAGCTGGGAAAACCCAAAGGAAGCCAGTGGAGGGAGCCTGGAGTGGCAGGAGGAGAAGCGACCCACGGTGTGAGGGCTCCCAGCAGGGAGGAGGGGTCAGGCACCAGGAGAAGGCGGGGCAGTGAGCTTCTGCCTCCAGGACGGGACAGCCAATTCTGGACGTGCCATCTGATGACTAATTTCCTCTGTGATGTATTTTCAGGAGAGGTTGGGGCTTGGAGGACAGGAAAGTGGGAAGATTTGAGCTGCAGCCATTAGGGGGAGGAAGCTTATGAGAAACCAAGGCAGCCAGGCACCGCTGAGGGCCTGTTGAGGTCAGCAGCCATGAACGTGACATAACACCGACTGCCACATAGTACCAGGCATCTCTGGCAGCTCTCCGCAGCCAAGGGCAGACACAGAGAAGCCAGGAAGGCACAGCGGAAGGAAGACGGAGCAAAAAGTCTTGAGATGAGATGCTGCGGAAGGCTGGTGGAAATGAGGGCGCTACGTTGGACCTGGGGGGTGAAGGGGGAAGGTGCTGATGGACAGAAAGGTGAGGGCCAGGAGCTCCGGAGGGGCGTCGCGGAGCACAGAATGAGATGGATAGGAGAGGCAGTGGGGGCAGAGAGAGGGGTGACATGGGGTGCTCTGGGAGGTGACACATTTTGGATTCTGACACGACTGGGGTGGGGATGTGGGAGTAGGGGAAGGGAGGAGGGGAGGAGAAGGTCAAGAAGCTGAGCGACTGGGGCCATTCACCCACGCTTTCAGATACCTATGCCTTCAGCAAGGCCCAGGGCTGAGAGGGAGACGAGGGGCCGGAGCCCAAGTCTTCGGTGACTGCGGGGAGCGAGTGGGAGACTGTGGATGACCGGGGGTTGGGAGCGTGCAGACAGGAGCAGCTGGAGGGCTTGAGTCTCAGTGGAGGCAGGGGGGTCATGAGGAGGGCAGAGGAGGGCTGCCCAGGAAGCCAGTGTGGGCACAGGAAAACCCTGACAGCCCCACTGGGCCTCCCATGACGCCCCCTGGGCTGCAGGGAGGGGGTCCTGGGGACAGAGCTGGGCTTGGATAGGAGGAGACAGAGCCACTATTCAGAGTTGTCAGGGAGTTTAGTAATTGCAGGACAAGGTTACAGAGAGGACCGTGGACAGGTCAGGAGGAAGGAGTCAGGGAAAAGCAAGCCCGAAGCGTTTTGGGGGGCAGAGAACAAAGTATAAAAAACCAGTGGGGGGCTTCCCTGGTGGCGCAGTGGTTGAGAATCTGCCTGCTAATGCAGGAGACACGGGTTCGAGCCCTGGTCTGGGAGGATCCCACACGCCGTGGAGCAACTAGGTCCGTGAGCCACAACTACTGAGCCTGTGCGTCTGGAGCCTGTGCTCCGCAACAAGAGAGGCCGCGATAGTGAGAGGCCCGCGCACCACGACGAAGAGTGGCCCTCGCTCGCCGCAACTAGAGAAAGCCCTAGCACAGAAACGAAGACCCAACACAGCAAAAATAAAATAAATAAATTAATAAACTCCTACCCCCAACATCTTCAAAAATATAATAATTATTATGTTTAAAAAAAAACAACAGTGGGGTTTCTACCTTGGGTGGTGTCAGAAGAAAGTGTCAACCAGAACACAGCCTCTCAATCAGTCTCCTGATTCGAAACATCCCCTCCCCACTTCCAAAGACTGGACCTTCCCCTGCCTGTAACTTTCACTGGCTCCCCACTGCCCAGTCAAGTAAGGACCAACTCCTCACACTCCATTCAAGGCCCTCCACCATCCAGTCCTCACTTACTGCCCTAGCCTTAATTCTCACAATTCCCACCAAATGCCTTCACTACTCCGTGCCCAACCTCCAAACCTTTGTTCACACTGCTCCCCTAGCTCCGAATGCCCCCCACTTAGAATGCTCTCTCACCGTCCCATCCCCCTCTAGGTGAAATCCCACTAGTCGTTCCTCCCCTGATTCTCTCAGCCAGAACTCTGTACCTACGTTGAGGCCCTGTATTTTACCAGACCGCACACCCAAGTGAATACCAGGCTCCCCTCACCTCCCGTAATTGATGTGGGGACTAGGTCCCCAGGGCGCTGCCTGGAGAACCAGGCGGAAATCCCATCGCCTACCAGAATGGGCCTCTGCCTCTCTGTGGAGGCCTCCCCGGCCCCCCACCTGTGAGCAGCATGAGCCAGGGCAGCAGGAGGAGGGCGGCGGTGTGGAGGGGTGTGTGGGCTCGCAGCAGGGCCGACAGGGCAGGGCCCAGCAGCACAGAGACGTGCAGCAGGACGCCTGCGGCGTGAAGCAGCAGACACAGGAAGGGCCGGTAGTTGTGGAAGCCCACGCAGCGGCCCAGCAGGCGGCAGTGGTGGTCCCGGCGAAGGATGCAGATGCGGCAGGCAGAGCAATGCCCGCTGCGCGGTGGCACCTGGCTTTGGCACTGGTAGCAGTAACTGCAGGGAAGGAACCACAGGGTCAGTTCCCCCAGCAGCTCTGAGTGCCCCATTTCATGCCCGGTCAGCCCCTGAGCCCATCCTGGGGAAGCAGGCACAGCCCCTGCCCTCTCTAAGGTTCAGGTTCTTCACAGGTAAATGCAGGCTAAACACCACTTCCCAGGCCCTTCCATTCCTGGCACAGCAGGTCTGAGGGCTCTTCCAGCTCTGAGAGCCCCAGTCCTGAGGCCTTTCTCTGGTCTCTAACATCCGGAAGCAAACTTCTCCTGTCCTCCACTGTTACCACCTCCGTCCAAGTCACCATAAGCTCCCCCCTGGATTACTACAACAGCCTCTTGCCTGGCTTCCCTGACTCCACCTTTGTCCCAACTGGTGTAGTCTCACCCCAGCAGCCAGACTGATCCTTTTAAAATCTAAGTCAGGGGAACTCCCTGGAGGTCCAGTGCTTAGGACTCCGCGCTTTCACTGCCGAGGGCCCGGGTTCGATCCCTGGCACGGCCAAGAGAAAAATAAATCAAGTAAATAAAATCTAAGTCATGTCCCTCCTCTGCTCAAAACCCTCCAATGGCTCTCCGTTTCACTTCTAGTAAAAAGCAAAGTCTTCGAGGTCTTACAAGGTCTTTACGTCTCTGACTTCTCCTCCCTCACTCCACTTTGGCCACACTTGCTGTTCCTGGAACATGCTGGGCAAACAAATGCCTCAGAGTCTTTGCATCATCTGTTCCCTCTGCCTGGAACGTTCTTCCCCCAGATGACTGTGGCTAACTCTCCCCCCCTCCAAGTCTTTGCTCAAATGCCACCTTCTCAATGAGGCCTACCTTGACCACCCTATTTCAAACTGCAATTTGAGTCTCCTTTATCCTGCTCTTTCTGTTTCCTTACCACCAACACCTTCTAACATTCTACATTATTTTCTGATTTATTACGCCTCAAGTTTATCATCTACCCCCTCCCTGAAATCAGGAATATGTTTTATTGTACCTCCAGTGCCTGGAATAGTACCTTGCACGTAGTAGGTACTCAAATATTTGTAAGTGGATGAATGATACTCCTTCTGCCGTCTGGTTCAAGCGGATCTTACTGTAAACTGGTTCTAACATCTTCAGGTCCTGAGGCCCTCCCCCTGCCCAAAGCTCCCGCTTCTCCCCCCGCCAGATCCCGTGCCCCACTCACGCCCAGCCCTGGCCCAGACCACGGCCGGCCAGCATCACACCCCGGATGCTGGGGTCCGAGCGCAGGAAGAGCCCCACGTTGCCCAGTAGGTTGAGCAGCTGAAAGGTTGCCAGCGCAAGCTGCAAGGTCCGGGCCAAGGGTCCCAGTGGGGGCGGCCCGGGACCCAGTACCAGCACGTAGGCCAGCTCCAGGCCCACGGCCGTGGCCCACAGCGCGGTGAGCACAAGAGGAAGTCGCGCGGACGCCGCTTCTGCGCTCCCCACAGCCCTGGGCTGCCCCATGGCCTGGACCCACTAGCGGTCGGATCCCGGGTACCCCGCCGCTTCCGTATTGGGGCGGGGAGAGTGGCAAACGGACGTCTGCTACGACCAATAGAAGCTCTGAAGGGGGTGAGCGAGCGTTGAGGTTCACGGGGAGGGCCCGCAGATACGGAGGTGTGATTGAACGGCCGAACGAGCCAAAGAGATGCTTGGAATCTCGTTGGCGCTAGAGCCGGTAGGGCAGCGCGGTTACAGCCCACCCGCGCAGGCCCCGCCCCTCCCGCAGAAGCTCCGCACGCTGGGCCCGCTGGCCCGCACTCCGAGAGGATTGAGTTGCAGTTTAGGTGCTGTCGGTGTTTCGCGGCTCAGCACATTCCTCCTCTCCCTCTAGTCGCCCCGATATTAATAGCCCTGCTTCGGCCCATCCAGCTGGCTTGGAGCCCCACCCCATGCTCTAGTGTCTCCCTTCATCACCCCAGAAAACATTCAAAACAGCTCGGCGCCTCGGTGTTTCTGACTGTGAAATGGGAATAGTGCTCCCTGTTTCCCACCAGCGCGGCGCAGGAAAAGGGTCATGAGGCCCAAAAGGTAGCTTCTGGAGCAGTCTGCAGCCACTGTTATTATCGTCATCTTCGTTGTACATGTGAGGAAACAGACTCAGAGAGGGCCCGTGGCTTTCGCAAGAGTCTCACAGCGCCCAAGCTGCGGAGCCGGAACGCGAACCCCGGATCTCTGCCATGGGGTACACCCCAGTGTCCCCAAATTCTGCAGTCTCCTAGCCTCAGGACAACCTGCTGCCTGGTCCCGACCCGAGTGGCCTCGCCCCCATCCGGCCCCTCCCTTCTCCCCCCTATTTAGCAGGAATCCGATCCGGGGCTGGGCCGGGTGCTACTTAACGCGGCCCCCATGTTCTGGAGCGCGCCGAACGGAGCGGAGCCGGGAGCCCGAGCGAGATGATGATGGTTATGCAGCCCGAGGGTCTGGGGACTGGGGAGGGGCCCTTCGCAGGCGGCGGCGGCAGCGGCGGCGAGTACATGGAACAGGAGGAGGACTGGGACCGCGACCTGCTGCTGGACCCGGCCTGGGAGAAGCAGCAGCGAAAAGTGAGTGCTAACCCATTTCCTGTTGGCAAAACTGAGGCCTGAGAAGCCAGGCGGTTTGTCCTTGGCATCTCAGCAGGTCAGGGGCAGAGCCTGTCTTAACCCTCAGTGCCACTTCCTCGCCCAGGCTCTGACCATCAGTCCTCTGCTGTCCCCCAGGGCCCGAAGAGAGGGCTGGAGACCCTCACGAGGGGTTTAGGACAAGAAGAGTTTCAGGGGTCCCCACCCCACAGGCTTCATTCCCCTGGGCCCACTGCTCCACTTCTGCTAAGGAATATGGTTTGGGCAAAACCCGGGAGATCCAAGTTCAGGGTGTGGGTGGGGTCGGGAAGAATGATCTTTGTCTCCACAGCCCCACTCTCCAGTGAAATATTCCCAGACCCCACCTGCGGACTTGCAGCCAGGCAGCTAGAGGACTTGGGAGTGTGGGGAAGGGGTAACCGTCGCAGACCCCTTCCCCACCCTCTCTATGTTCTCTCCAGCGTGGTGTCCGTGGTCACTCTATCCCAACTGTTAAATGAGGAAGCTGGGGCTGAGATAGGACCCAAATCATATGCTGTCAGAAAACAGGACTCCCCGCAACCTGAGGGTCTTTGCCCGTTGCTTGCCCCACCCCCATTCTTTCCCAAGATACCCCTCCTTACCCCAGGGGCCCTGAATCTGCTGAAAAGGCCACAAGGTCGGGGAGGAGGGGAGCCCTGGGTTCCCTTTCGCGGTAGGTAACCTGACTCTCTGGCCAGATAGACACTTCGTGCTGAGGCAGCACCTTGGAGAGCTGAGAGGGGCACATGGGCAGCTGCTGCCCAGGGCCAGCCTTGTAAGGCACTCGGGCCTCCCCTCCCCGATCTATTTTCACTCGCAGACTTTCCCAAGTGGAGGGGGCAGGACACCTGGCGACCCAAAAGAGAAAATGATCCAGGCTGGAGTGAGGAAACTTTGGGGAGTGTGGCAGGACAGCGGTAGGAGTGTACCACGAGGTCATTAGACCCTGCTCAGCACTTGCCAACAGTGTATGAGTCCAGGAAAGGGCAGGGGAACAGGGGTGTTTGGTGGAATTTGCAGGATCTGAGAATCCCAGAATTTAGAATCAGAGCATTTATGCTGGGTTAGTTGATAGGAGATGACCCCAGGGGCTGGGAGGCTCAGCTGACTCGGCTAGGGTGCCCGGGGTGACACGCCTCCCCCCAGGCTCCTCCTGCACCTGTCTCCAAGCAGGGCTGTGGTCCTTGGGTCCAGCAGTCTCCCAGTGATGTCATCCCTGCCCCTGGCTCCAGCTGCCATCTGCTCTGCAACAACTCCTATCCCCCCCACGCACCCACCCAGGCCTCTCCCAGATCCAGGTCCACATGCCCCTCATAAGATACAGGCTAGTCTGTAACTTGCTTTCATCACTTAAAATATCAGGAGCATCCTTCCAACCCAACTTACAGCCACCCACCTCACTGACTCATTCAATGATTGCACAGAGTAGACACTCTGTAAATTCATCAGCACCCCCCGGAGTTGGACATTCTGGTTGTTTCTCATCTAACATTGTTTATTACAATGTAATGAACATCTCTGTGCTCAGCTTTAGTCCCACCCCCATGCCTGCTTCTCCTCCATGTATTGAAGCACTCCTGCCTCCCCCACCTGATAACCGAGTCCTCTTTATTCAGCCTCATTGCAAACATTCATTCATTGTTTCTTAGGAAGGTCCTAGTATGTGCCAGCCACTGTTTTAGGTGCCAGCAATTCAGCAGGGGGCAAAATTAAAGACACCGCCTCAGGGAGCTTATATTCTAGCAAGGACAAATGTTTTCATCTCATCCACTTGATCCTGCCCTGTCCCACTCACTGACACCTTTCCTCCCTCACCCTGGTCTCAGTCGGCACCTCCTCACTTCTCCCTTCTGCTCTGCGAAGCCATTTGTCTCCCCTCTGCAACCAGAATGAGCTTTCTAAAACACAGTGCTGCCCCTCCCTGTCCTGTGCCTGAAAGCTTCCCTTGTTGCCCTCAAGATCAAGTTCAGACTCCCTGGCTTAGCACTCAAGATCATGCATGACCTGGCCTCTGCCGCCCCTCCGGCCTGCCTCTCACTACGTATACCCCAACACCCCCAGAGCAGTGCCCAGATAGCTGTAGCTCCGCAAACCTAGTAACTGTTTCTCATCGCCAAGCACTTGCCCGTGTGGCTGCCCCTGCCTGGAATGCCCTTGCCTGCCCTTCCCTGCCTGAGTAACTCCTGCTCTTCCATCACAGTTCTGATCAATTATTAACCTTCCCCAAGAGGTCTCCCACTTGATATGAAGAACTCCTCCCCTAGTCTCCCCAATACTAGTCTCTCCCAGCACTTCTCAGACCAACAGGACTCTTTGACTGTGAGTTCCTTTAGGGCAAGGAGCAAATCTCATTAAAAGTCATGTTTGTCAAATGAAAAATGCCCCTTCCTCCACCACGGAGGCCTCACCCAGTCCTGCCTTTCCTCCTGCCCTATCTCGACCCAGCACCCACTTACACAGCGGAGGGAAAGAATTCCAAATGATTTCCAGGGCCACCTCCCTGGAGTATCTGCTTTGCGGTGGCGGGGGGATGCTCTCCATTCCAGAATCCTGCAACGTCAGGGGAAGGAGGACCTGAGACATCACTGAGTCTGAACCCTTAATCGTGCAAATGGAGAGACTGAGCCCAAGAGAGGTCAAGGGGCGCATCCCAGGTCACAGAGAGTGAGCAGTTCAGCTGGGGTTGGAGCCCAAGTATGGGTTCCACCAAGGACTGCTGATGGCAGAATCCAGGGCCTCGAGGCTTGGTAGGTTGGTAGAAACTTGTGCACTAGGTCACTGCCATCCCCCAAAGACACGCAGCCGTATACCAGCCCTCCCATCTCAGACAGAGGCTGAGGCAGAAGCACACTCTGGCCGGTGAGGGAGGGCAGTCTCCTCCAGAAACTAGGTCAGGCTGGGCCTGAGTGTCCAGCTGACCCTCTACATCCTGCAGAAAGCTCTTGCAGCCTCATGGTCTGCTTGAAGGCCAGTTCACAACAGCCTTAAGAGATCGGTGAGCCTGAGATAATAAAAACACAGGTGCACAGTCCCTCAGAGCCATCTGTGCTTCAACACAGAATTTTTCAGATTTGAGGCAGTATCACCCTGCACTGACCCTTGTGCCTCAGAGAGCCCCACACTTTGGAGTGTCTGCTTTACAGGTTTCTAATTCCCCCTTCAGTGCTTGTTGTGCCGGCAGTGAGGCACCCCAAGTCCAAACTGGGGCCTGAATGGGCCCCAGACCCCATTTCTCCTTTTCCAGGAGAATTAAATCTCAGAGAGGGAAAGGGGCTGGCCCCAGATGCACAGCAAGTCAGTGGCTGAGCCGGTACTTGAATCCAGGGCCTTGGGCTCTGAGATCTGCCCTGACAGAGGAGCCAGGGCGCTGTCCTCAGCACTAGGGTCTGAGCACTGTCCTCTGCCCCCAGACCTTCACTGCCTGGTGCAACTCGCACCTGCGCAAGGCTGGCACCCAGATCGAGAACATCGAGGAGGATTTCCGCAGTGGCCTCAAACTCATGTTGCTCCTGGAGGTCATTTCAGGTGAGGGGTGCAAATCAGTGCACAGGGACCCCAGGACACAGGGAAAAACCCAGAGAGCTGGGGGAGTAGTGACATCAGAGTGCTGGAGGGGAATTGCTGAGGGAGGGGGAAAGTTTGAGGACCATGTCTTCAGCTTCCTCTCATGACCTTTGACCCTTGACCTCTCCCCTCACACCCAGGAGAGAGGCTGCCCAGGCCAGACAAAGGCAAGATGCGCTTCCACAAGATCGCCAATGTCAACAAGGCCCTGGACTTCATTGCCAGCAAGGGGGTGAAGCTGGTGTCCATCGGTGCCGAAGGTGAGGCTGTGGCAGGAGGAGGCCTGGGCAGGGCCGGGGGTGCGGTCCCTCATCTCAACAATGGGGATAACCGTCCGTGCCTCGCAGGAGGGACTGTCCGGAGCGAAGGTACCCAAAGTGC